TTTCTTTTCAAATGTCCATTCACTAATTTCAATATTTAAATTTCAAATATTTAGTATGAATTTTCTAAACACTAGAATATCTCTAAAACGATGTTAATCATGTTCGAAACAATATCGAAGGACGTACAGAAAAATGTCTCGATTAGAAGAACAAAAGTGGCCCATTTTTTTGTGGAGAGATGAAATTAAAATTACCCTCTTCTAAAGTCTTGGGATGAAAAATTATGGAATTGTTTTAGTATTGTTCATCTTGATGATATTTGATAAAAGTTTGTAAGTTCAGCTGCCGCCTCTCTTCAACTTCCCAAAGTCGCACATCCAATGCTACGGTGAAGCAGTGTATTGCGGTGGCAGCGAATTGCTAAGCCGTTGCAGCCGTGCAGACAGCTCCCTTGACAGATTTACATCCGTCCTAGCCTGGAGCATATCCACCATCCGCCCCGTCGCATTTGGGGTTGCTCCTTACAACCCAATTCTGGGAGAGACTCACCATGTTTCAACTGGGTCTCTCAATGTCCTACTTGAACAGGTTCGTTTTTGTTCCGTTCCACTCTCTGACACATCACATTTCTTTACCAATTAAGAAGACAATAATATCATTAACAGCAAGCAAATGGGTGCCGAATTTTCCACAGGTTTCACATCATCCCCCAGTTTCTGCTCTCCACGCAACTGATGAAAAAGAAAGCGTTGAAATCATATGGTCCCAACATGCCATTCCTAAATTTCATGGTAGTTGAACAAAATTTCATAAATATTTGTATATGTGATGATGGCATAGCGCAATGCAACTATCCATTCTTACTTTTAGTTTTAATTTTTTTTGCTTGCTTTGTGAATACAATGTTGTAGGTGCTTCAGTGGAAACAGATGTGCGTGGGAAGAGGCAGCTAAAACTCCTCAGTAGGGGAGAAACTTATGAAATGAACTCACCAAAGCTTTTAATTAGATTTCTTCCTGTACCTGGGGTTCATTGGGTTGGAAATGTTAGAATTAGATGCCAAGAGAGTGGGCTTGAAGCTCAATTATGCCTTGGAGCCACTTCCTTTCTGGGTCTTAGAAGAAATTCTAGATCAATTAAAGGAAACATTTATGAAACATCAACAATGAAGACTCTTGCTGAGGTTAATGGCCAGTGGGACAGGTAATAAGCTGTCTGTTGATGACTGAATTCTGCGCTAATATGAGCATATATCACATATCACTTTTTTCCTTGTGCAGAATTGTTAAAGTGAAAGACATCAATAATGGAAAAGAAACAGTTATCTACAATGCAAAAGAAGTCCTTTCAGGATTGAAGACTCCTATTGTCAAGGATTTGGAGGTAGTGTCTTCAATCTCTATATCTTGTATACCCTCTTGAGTAATAGGATTATTAAGTACCTAGGGTGAGATGGATTTTGTTTTCCTCAGGGAGTGTGGCCAAGTGAATCAGCAGCAGTGTGGAGTGAGCTGAGCCAGGCCATACTGAGCAAAGACTGGGATAAAGCAAGGGAAGCAAAGAAAGATGTGGAGGAGAATCAGAGGGAGCTCTCGAGAGAACAAGAATCAAGAGGGGAAGCTTGGGTTCCTAAGCATTTCACTGCTACTTACACAAAAGATGGTGATTGGGAGTGCTCACCAATTCAAAGCTTAGTACCCCCAGCTCCCATTGTTGTTCCCCCTTGATTAGACAAGTAGAAAACTTTTTATAGTAGCCGCGCAGACACAACAAATAATGAACAAATGTCTATAAGTTGTTCAACAAACTCATAACATATTTGGGAAGAAATTGCCCAGTTAGCATTCACCTAGACCTTATTACTCTAAACTCAATTCTTGTGAGTAAACATCATATGCAAAAGTTGAAACTAAACTACTGCAATGTAAGCTATTTGGTGGTAATAGAATACATTTCTCTTAGATCTGAATCGCTCCTCCGAGTGAAGGACATTTCTTTGATGGTGTCCAAAATAGGCTTCCATGATCGCCTTCCTACGCTGCGTGCCCTTTCCTCTGGAAACTCCATCAAGCTGCCAGGAGTACTAATGCTTGTCGACGTCGGGTCAACGGATTTTGCCTTTGCTGTGAGCCTCTTTACAAGAGAAGCAAAGTCAGTAGGAGATGCATCAGCATGGAAAGCTGAGTGTGGGAGCAGGAAATAGATGGATCCTGGCTGGAGTTGATCATCAGGTTTCAGAGGCAAGGAGGCGGTAGAGAGCAGCTGCGCAGCCGTGCAAACGAAATGCTTCGGTGACATGCTGATAACTTGGCCAACTGAAATTGGAGGCTCAAAGTCCTCAACATAACCGTTGAGGTGAACCAACCGTATTGTCTTCAGCACAGATGATGATCTGCATCTGCAAGAAAAGCAACTACCCATTTGATTCTTCGAAGAAAAGCAATTCCCTCCTTCCGTTCTCCAAGTGAGATTTACTTGGAAGGGAATGTGGATTGGATATCCTGATATAAGCAGTTGAAGAATTTATCGGATTTAACTGGACAGTTGTTGGCCGA